ACGCCGTAAATCTGCCTCCCAGGAATAACACTGCTAAACCCAGAGACGGTTCCCGCAGGATCAGGCCCTCCTGGAGGGGGGGGATCAGGTGCGGACCCTGCGTGGAAGTGAGGAAAGGGCATTTTAGGCCATCTTCTTGCCGCTGTTTATGAACAAAGAGCTTTTGTCCCGCACTTGACGTTATCAAAAGTTATTTTTAGGTCGACGTCTGCACTTGTTGATGTTATTGGGATTATCTGTAACTCGGCAGGCCGTGCTGCTGTCTTCAAAGACGCTGGCTGAGCACGGAGAGAGAGGAAATCCTTGTGCTGTCCCTTGCAAGGGACATTTGCCCTTGAGATCAGGCCAGCGGCACTTACTTGGGCTGATAAGGGTTTATTTCGCAACCTGCAGAGTTCCTAAAGCCTTAAAAATTCCTGAAAACCCTAAAAGTTCCTAAAAACCTTCAAAGCTCTTCAAAACCCTAAAAGATCCTCAAAACCCCAAAAGGTGCTAAAAGCTCTAAAAGCCCTAAAAGATCCTAAAAATGTTTAAAGTTCCTAAAAGCCCTCAAAATTCCTAAAAGCCCTGATAGTTCCTAAAAATCCTAAAAGCTCCTGAAGCCCTGAAAGTTCCTAAAAGGCCCAAAAGCTCTTAAAAGCCCTAAAAGTTCCTAAATACTCTAAAAGCTCCTAAAGCCCTAAAAGCGCCTAAAAAGTGTAAAAATTCCTAAAGCCCTAAAAGTTACTAAAAGGCTTAAACGTTCCTAAAGCCACAGTAGTTCCTAAAAACCCTAAAAGCTCCTAAAGCCCTAAGGGATCCTAAAAGATCATAAAAACCTTCAAAGTTCCTAAAAGCCCTAAAACCTCCTAAAGCCCTGAAAGTTCCTAAAAACCCTTAAAGTTCCTAAAGCCTTAAAAGATCCTAAAACCTCCAAAAAGCCCTAAAAGATCCTAAAACCCCTAAAACCTCCAAAAAGCCCTAAAAGATCCTAAAACCTCCTAAAACCCCTAGAAGATCCTAAAACCCCTAAAATTCCTAAAAGCTCCTAAAGCCCTAAAAGATCCTAAAGCCCCTAAAATTCCTGAAATCCTTAGACGATCCTAAAACCCCTAAAATTCCTAAAAGCTCCTAAAGCCTTAAAAGGTCCTAAAACTGCTTAAAGTTCCTAAAAGCCGTAAAAGCTCTTAAAACCCCTAAAACCTCCAAAAAGCCCTAAAAGATCCTAGAACACCTAAACCCTCCTAAAAGCCCTAAAAGCTCTTAAAACCCCTAAAAGTTCGTAAAAACCCTAAAAGCTCCTAAAAATGCTTAAAGTTCCTAAAACTCCTAAAAGCCCTAAAAGCTCCTTAAACCCCCTTGAATTCCTAAAACCCCTGAAAGCTCCAAAAGAACCCTAAAACATCCAAAACCGCCTAAAAAGCCCTAAAACTTCCTAAAAGCCCCCTGGAGACAGAAGTGCTGGCGGCGGGTGAGCGGGAGCGTGCCAGGGCAGCGCGGTGGCATGGCCACAGCCATGAGACGGGCAAGCTCGGGCCCGTCCTGCCAGGCTGCTGCCAGCCACGGCGTGGCAAGTACAGGCAGAGGTGCGCTGGCCGAGGCCGAGGGTGAGCCGGCGGGTGCCAGCCCCAGCCCAGGGTGCCGAGACCCCCCTCAAAAAGCCCCTTAGGAGGCCAGGGGGCGGGCAGCCCGGGCCCCGTCCTGCCAGGCTGCTGCCAGCCACGGCGTGGCAAGTACAGGCAGAGGTGCGCTGGCCGAGGCCGAGGGTGAGCCGGCGGGTGCCAGCCCCAGCCCAGGGTGCCGAGACCCCCCTCAAAAAGCCCCTTAGGAGGCCACGGTGCTCCCAGGGGAGCTGCAACCGCAAACAGGCAGAGGAAGAGGGTGAGGATGAGGAGGATGAAGCTGCTGGGAGGGGATGCCTGGAGGTCCCCCATCCATATGCAGTGAGCGATGCAGCCTCAGGAACCGCGGAGGATGGTGATCCCGGGTGAGCTGTGGGTGCTCCCGCTCCCCCATCGCCACCGCTCCCCCCTCCTCAGCGTTGCTCCCAAAAATACATCAAAAGGGGAGGTGGGCACTCCCTCACCCCACCTCACGTCAGCGTTTCTCTGGCAGGCAACAACAGCAGTGACTCGCCAGGTGCCAGGGCTGTAAAACCCAACCGTAGAGCGGGCAATAAACCCGCTCATTGTTTGGGCTCGGCTAATAAACCTGCTGTGATGATGTCAGGGAATTCTGGGGGAAAACTGCTCCCGAGGGGTATTTGTACAAGCACTGGCGTGAGGATGATGCCACGGGATGCGGGAACCGGGCACGTCTGCTCCCTGGCAGCCGAGTCCCCAAGGTGGACCTCAAAATGGTGCTGAGGTCTGCCCTACCCCCCCACCCTCCCCATTCCCAAATGGATTTTGTCTCTTCCCTGGCTGCTTATTTCCCCACAGTTTGGAGAATTTGAAATATTCTCAGAGCTTTGCCCCTCAGGCTAGGGCTGGCACCGGAGCGTGAAGGCACCGCGGTGACCCTAAGCCGCTGTTCCTGGGGTAAAAAAGGACAGCACAACCGCCCCCTCGGCAGCCCGGCACCGGCCTGCTGTCCGATAAGGCGCAGGGAAAGGTAAACAGGATTATTTCTCCTTGGGGAGGTTAGATGGGCCGGAGCCCCCTTCTCCTGCCCACAGTGCCCCGGGGCTGGGGGCCACCAGGGGTGGTGGGAGGCGGGACTCCACCCTGCACTCCCATGGGATCTCGGGGAGTGTTTTGACCTCAATTCTGCTGTGGTGGGGTGGGAAAGGTGCCTTTTCTGCCCCCGGTTGCCAACAACGGCCTCAGCTCCCAGGGGACCACTGTGTCCCACTGGTCCACACCAATGAGCTCAGTTCCCTGGGGCCACCGTGTCCCACCAGTCCCCAACAGCGGGCTCAGCTCCCCAGGGCCACTATGTCCCACTGGTCCCCACCAATGGGCTCAGTTCCCTGGAGCCACTGTGTCCCACCTGTCCCCATCAAGGGGCTCAGTTTCTGGAGACCACCATGTCCCACCAGTCCCCAGCAATGGCCTCAGCTCCCCGGCGCCACCGTGTCCCACTGGTCCCCAACAAGGTGCTCAGCTCCCCGGGGACCACCATGCCCCATGGGTGCCATGTTCCCACTGCTGGGGACAACCACCAAGCGATTGTTTTCCAAGCACCGCCAGATACCGGAAAAAGGTTTATTCATGTGCCTGTGGTAGCGCATATGCAGGTACTGGCAGCCGGCATGACTCACGCCGCAAACCCCGAAATTTTGAGGCGGGGAGGAAGGGCCATGGAAAACACATCCTGAGAGCAAAGGGGAGGATGGAGCTACCACGGCCAGGATGTGACTCTCCCATGGTGGGGCTCATGGGGGACAAGCCGAGCGCTTGGCACCTCACCAAACCCCCAGGCTTCTTAATAAATAGCTGAAGTCAGCCGCCGGAGCGGTGAGACACGCACAGCTCATTGTCACGCGGTGGGAGCTGGGGGCACAGCGAGCTGGCAGGCGGGGGGGGCACAGCCCCGGCGGGACAGGCTTTTGTCCTGGGGAGGGATGGAAACTCGGTGGCGCTGGCTGCTCTTTGTGCACAGAACAAAGAACAAGAGCCGGCGGTTTCCTTCGCTGCCCGGAACCAGGCCTCGGGAAGCAGTCAGAAAGGGAAATGCCGCTCGGGAAGGCAGAGACGGGCAGCGTGTCACCCCGTGAGTCTTCCTGGTGATGCCTGGTCCCCTGCCACCGGACCAAAAACAGGCAGCACCAGAAAATGGCACCTTGCTGGCACACCCCGCAAGCTACAAGTGTGGGGACGATGGGGTCCCCGCTGCCACCACCAGGCGGAATTGCGGCCATGCCGGCATCACCACACCGCCATGCTGCTCTGCATCCCGGCAGGCAGAGTGGGATGCCCAGCTCCAAAATCTCAGGCACCAGGAAAGGCAAAACCATGGGTACAGTTCCAGGCTAAGCCCGGCATAGGGGGACACACCGGAGGGTCAGGGCCGACTCGCTGCCTCCAACTGATGGGTTTAGTGCCTGCAATTTGTCTCTGCTGTGTATTTCCTGCAGGCTGGACTGCTTGAACCCCGGTAAAGGGTTTGGTTGCATTGAGGAGCTCTGCTCGGGGTCTGGCCTTCCTAAGTGAGAGCGTATCACTTCATGTACTCACTTCCCACCCTCTCCTCTGCTCCGGCACGTCCACCCAATGCCAAGTCGAAGCCCTGGTCAGCCGTTTGCCTGCCGACCCGGGGCTGCGGGTGGCCTCTGTCCCCGCGCTGGCTTTAGGGCGAGCAGGAGGGCTTTTGGTGGGCTGCTGTCATGCATGTTGGGCAGGTTGGGTCGAGGGTGCCACAGCCTTACAGCCACGCTCGCCAGCCCACAGCTGTGCCGGCACCAAACAGGCTGGGGGGATGCAGGCAGCGAGATCCTGCATCTGCCTGTCCTGTGTGCGATGCTCCCGAGGGGGCTCGGATGTCCCCTCCTGGCTGTCAGGGGGCTCTTCTGTACCACTAACCAGCACTGCTAACCAGCACTGGTAACCGGTACCGCTAACCAGCACCGGTAACCGGTACTCCTAACCAGCACTGCTAACCGGCACTGCAGTCCAGCCCTGCTGTGTGCACAGTCCAGAGCTGGGACCATCCTTGAAATCCTCATGCCATCTAGTGGGACCATCACTAATGACAAGGCAGAGCGTGGCTGCCGGCTCTGCCCGCCGTGGGGCCGGGGGTGATGGGGTGGCAGCAGGAGCCCGGCCACAGCTGCACCGCTCCGCCTGCGGTGGGGACACCTGCACCGGCAATGAAAAGGCGCTTTTAATGACAAGTGTTCACCTTCAGCAGAAGAAGTCAGTATTGGTTACTAATGAACGGGCAGCCCAAATTCTTCCCTTGAAGAAACCTGTGGTGTCCATGGTGCCGGCTGTCCAGGCCAGGGGATGCCACCACGCTGCATCCTTGGGGAACAGCTCCTGAGCCACCCTTGCAGCCCCTCACCCCAGCGTCGGGGCGTGTTATCTGGAGGTGTTGCTGACAGAGCCCAGCTTGCTCCGGCGGTGCACAGTGATGTACCAGAGGCAGACGAAGAGACCTGTCAGTGGGTGGCAACACAGTCACTGCTGTGGGGGCACCGAGCTCCTGTGAGGAGCGGGAACGTGACGAGGACCCTGCTGCTCCCAACCCGCGGGGTCTCTGTCTCCCAACCCCCTCCCCAGTGCTCCCCACCGACCTTGCAGGGAGTTGAGGATGGTGAAGAGGTAGAGCTGGGGGACGAGGAAGACGCCGAAGCTGAAGAAGATCAGCCCCCAGGTGGTCCCCAGCAGGCAGGTGAGCCCCAGCACTGTGGCCCAGTCCTTCCTCACCTGCCCCTTCTGCCGCCGGATCCGCCGCAGTATCATCACCACCCTCCCCAGCACCAGCATGTTGAAGAGCAGGATGAGGCCGGTGTAGCAGAGGGTGGCATAATGGACCGGCGGGCTGGTGAGCCAGCACCTGGAGGAGAGGGACTCTGTTGGGGACAAAGGCCAGCACCCAGGGTGCAAGCTGTGCCTTGGGACCATGCCATGCCCAAGGTCCATGCTGTGCCTGGGGTGTATGATGTGCCAGGGGTGCCTGGGTTCTACGAGGTGCCCAGGGTCCATGGGGTGCCAGGGGTGCCTGGGGAGCTGGCAGCCCCCTTTAACTCACATAGTCACGTTCCTGTAGCCTTCAGAGGTGCTGATGGTGTAGTACCCATAGGTATCTCTCTTGAAGATGAAAAGAGCCACCACAGCCAGCGTGGGCAGACCTGCGGGCACAGGGACAGGCTGTGTGGGGCCATGCCGGGGCAGCCATGCTGCGGGCAGGCAGGGCCAGCCAGGTGCCCACTCACCCCAAGCAAAGAGGCAGAGCTTGAGGAGGTAGTGCTGGATATAGATGTTGTAGACCTTGACGAGGAGGAGGAAAAGGTGGAAGGCCTCAGTGGCCATCCACGCCAGGGTGCAGAGAAGGCAGGCATGCAGCAGGGCAGCAGTGACCCGGCAGAGCCCCTCGGCGCTGGCAGCCAGCGGCGTGCTCAGCATTGAGCAGGAGCAGTGAGACCAGGAGGTGCATGTGGATCCTGGTTGTGTTGTCCCTCAGCCGCTGCCTACAAGAGAGGGGAGAGCAGGGTTGCTGTCGAGTGCCCGCCAGGTGGCACGGCACTGCATGGCACAGAGTGGCAGGGCATGGTGAAGCATGGCATGGCAAGGCACAGCACAATGAGGCATGGATGGCATGGCATAGCGTGGCACAGAACAATGTGATGTGCATGGTATGGCATGGCAGAGCATGGCACAGTGCAATGTGGTATGCATGGTATGGCATAGCACGGCGCAGCACAGCAAGGCACGTATGGCATGGCATGGCACAGCACAGCGAGGCACGTATGGCATAGCAGGGCAGGGCATGGCATGGCACAGCACAGCGAGACACGTATGGCACGGCATGGCAGGGCGTGGCATGGCACAGCACAATGTGGTATGCATGGCACGGCATGCCAAGGCACAGCACAACAAGGCAAGGACGGTATGGCATGGCAGGGCATGGCAGTGCATGGCACGGCACAGCACAGCGAGGCACATATGGCACAGCACAGCAAGGCATGGATGACATGGCATGTTACGGCATGGCACGGCACCGCACAACGTGGCAGGCATGGCAGGGCATGGCAGGGCAGGGCATGGCATGGCGCAGGCCAACCTGTGGCATGCATGGTGTGGCATGGCATTGCATGGCACCGCCCAAGGTGTGTCATGCATAGCATGGCGCAGCACAGCACAGCATGGCACAGCACCATGTGGAAAGCATGGCACGGCATGGCACAGGGCACAGCCCACAGCATGCATGGCATGGCATGGCATGGCACAGCACAATGTGGCATGCATGGCATGGCCCGGCACAGCTCTACCTGGAGAAGCAGAGGAGCAGGAGGGTGCAGAGGGTGGCAGCAGCCGAGATGGAGCAGCCGATGGTGGTGATGTGGGTGAGTGATGCCAGCTGGGCTGGGGTCAGGGTGCCCGCCGGGAGCTGCCGGGAGCGGGGAGGGAGGGGGTGAGCTGGGGCAGCCCCCACAGCAGCCCCCACCAGCTGGGAAAGGGGGGGAAGAGGGAGCCTTGCAAAACCACCCCCTGGCCACCCTCACCTGCAGGACACCCCCCATACACCCCATACCCTCCCAGCCACCTACACCCCCACCTCCAGGGAGCAGGAAGAGCGATGGAGGGAAGGGGAAAAGAGCAAAATGGAAGGAGGGAAGGAGTAAGGAAAGAAGGAAGGAGAAGTGAGGATGGAGGATGGAGAAAGAAGGAAGGAGGGAAGGAGGAAGAAGGAATAGGTATGGAGGGAAATAGGGAAGGAGGAAGGGGGAAGGAGAAAGAGGCAAGGAAGGAACAAGGGAAGGAGGAAGAGGCAAGGAGGAAAGAAGGAAGGAATGAAGGAAGGAGGAGGAAGTAGAAAGGAGGGAAGGAAGAAGGAGCATGGGGGTAGGAGGAAGAAGCAAGGAGAAACGAAGGAGGGAAGGTGGAAGAAAGAAGGAGGAAGAAAGAAAGAAAAAGAGGGAAGGAGGAGGGGGGAAGGAAGGCGGTAGACCAGCAGGACGGCGAAGTAGGTGAGGTGGTCGCAGTGGCAGATAACAGTGCCTTCCCTGTGTGTGGTGTTGCAGCCCTTCCTGCTCCAGCTGCCTGTGCTGCCTGCGCCTGCCGGAGAGCCGCCGTCGGAGGGTGGCACAGCAGCCGTGGGACAGGGACATCAAGGGGACATCAAGCCCTGCCAGGGCTGCCTGGACAGGTGATGCCTTCGGGGTGGCACCGAGCTGGCATTGCCCCTGTCCTGGCCATGGCCACACTTACCAGCACTGGGCTCCCAGAAGACACAGGTGGCATTGGAGGCATCCTGGTGGAAAGGGGACAGAGGGGGAGAGCTGGGGACCCTCTCTGTTCCCCAGGGACCTGCTGGTCCCAAAGCAGAGAGAGGACACTTTCCCCAACTCCAGGGGAAACACTGATGCTGGGAACCCCCCCAGCTCATGCTGCTGGTGGAGCCCTGCTCACCAGCACCATGTCGTGCCAGAACTGGATCTCCACGGGGCGGCTGAGCCCGGCCACGTGCCCACTCTGCAGGAAGGCTCCCAGTACGTTGTCGTTCAGCACAGAGCTGTTATGGGCATCCTGCAAGAGTCGGGGTGCCTGCAGGGAGAGTCCCAGGTCCCCAGGACATCCCGCCTACCCCAAACATCTCAGCGGGGTGGGTGTGCTTCTGGCCGGGGATGCTCAGGGGGGCCTGTGCGAGGACCTGTGACTCACCTGGAAGATGCAGGGGCTGTGGATGTAGATGCAGACGAGCTCCTGCTCCACTCCCCGGGCCCGGCTGCCCTCCACGAGCTCGGCTGGGAAGTTCATGGCGTGCTTGAACCTCCTGCCACCGCCCGGCTTCTCATCCTGAACCAGTGGGCAGGGGAGAGATGGGTACGGCTGCCCAGTGCTCAGCTGGCCCGAGGCAGGGGGGTCAGGGTGCTGCCCCAGCTGCCCCCATCAAGCACAGCCACCCCAGTTACTGGCATGGCCCTGCAGATTTGGCAGCTGCTCGCATCGCGACATCGGAGCCCTCCCAGCCCATAGCAGATGAGGTGGCTGTGGGTGGGGGGGTCTGTCACCCGTGGGTGGGCACGGTCTTGCCGGCCCCACCGTGGGGCAAGCACAGGGCAGACAGCATCGTGCCGGGATGCTTTCCCGTTGGGATTTCACACCTTGGTGGGCTGCCCTGCATGGTCTGTCCTCCCAGGTGCGGAGCAGGGGGATCCCAGCTGGCAGGCAGGCAGCCCTGCCTGCACAGCCTGCCTTGTCCTATAGGAAGGGACCTCTGGCAGGAGCAGTTGGACCTCCCTGGCAGGGCAGCCCCATGGCTGGGGGAATTGCTGTGGTGCCTCTGCACGACCCCCTTGCACCGGGACAGGGAAGTCACCCCGTGTGTTCCCCACCGCAGTTTCCCTCTCTCTTCCCACCGCAGGGAGGTGGGGACCAGGGCTTCCCTTTTCATAAATCAGAAGAGCTTCAGGATGGAAATCCTGGCTCTCAGCTGCAGAACCCCCCACCCCCCCACCCCCCCTCAGCTTTAGAAGCCCCCAGATTTATCCCAGCAACAGTGCTGGGGACCTGCAGCCCCAGCTGCCTGTGGCACCCCAGCAGAGCTGCATCTCAGGAGGCTTTGCTGACATAAAGCATCCTTGGAGGATGGTGGAAACCCAGTGTGGGGAAGTGTCAGCATCTCCGCAGCACCTCCCAGTGGGGATGGAGGGCCAGAGGGGGCCAGAGGCGGTCACTGGGAATCCGCTGGGAATAGCCTAAGCGGCACAGGGGGACCAACCATCCTGTGACTGAGGTTTAACCCTCTGAAGTCCTCGGTTCTGAAATTGAACACGTAGATCTCAATCATGCTGCCCGTGAAGTTGCGTTTCTTCCAGAGGGCCAGCTTCCCATCCGGCTGATTTAACCTACATGGGGAGGGTGTTCGGGGTAGGGTGCTGGAGGATCCGGCCCCTGTGGGTTTGGGGGGATGTCAGGGATCTGGTGACAGCGGGGCAGGAGCTGACGCTCACCTCTCCCTGGCGCGGTGGGCACCTCTACAGCCCTGCTGCAGCTCCTTCTCCATGGTGTCCATGTTCATCTTCATCTCCTCTGGCTCTGACGGAGGTGTTTTGGGAGCTGAGCCTCGGTGTACGGCACCCTGCCCTGCTCCCTAGCCCGCCCCAGCCTGGGGAGCCCCAGACGGCCCCAAAAGCCCCCAGCCCAACGCCAGGATGGGAGGTGTGCCTACCTTGACACCGCAGGAGGCAGGCAGCAAGGCAGAGGATGAGGACAATGAGCAGTGGGGTGGGCATCGCTGTGGTCCTCTCCTGCAAAAGGCACCCAGGACCTGGGCAGCGCCCTGGACCCCCCACCCGTGACCCCCAGGACCTTAGCCCCTTCCCACGTGCTGGCTGCAAGACAAAGATTGGGTCCTGGTGGCTTCCTCTCACCTCCAGCAGCCAAGCCCCACCAAAGCCATCGCAGCAGCAATGCCCCAGCCTGTCAGCACCCAGCGGCTGCACCAGAAGTGGATGCGAGTGCAGGGCGAGGAGGAGGGTGTTTACCACAGTGACCAGGGTGCAGGGTGTCCTTCGCATCCGTTTTATCATTACAGTGGTAAAACCATGGGGAGCAAGGCTTCTGCCTTTCCGCCTGCCCCAACCGGGACTCAGACCTCACCTGCAAATCCCCGGCAAGCAGCCTGCAAGCCAGAAGGGTCGCCGGCACGCTCTGCCGTGGTGCCGGGGCTTGCTGTCAGTGGCTCAGCACTGAGCTGGGGAGGAGGAAGTGTCCCTGGTGCAGGGCGGTTGGGAAAGTGGCTGGCAGCAAGATTTGCATCCCTTGCAACGCTGCACCCAGTGTCGCTCGCAGCAACATCCACCATGGTAATGCTGCTGGCACCCTAAGCAGCTTGGGAGAGGGGCTGTGAGTCTGACAGTGCCTGGGTGCAACAAATGGTTTTACTGTGGATGGATGCAGCGATGGGATCGATGCTTCGAGGCGCTGAGGCTGGTTATGGCCAGCGCAGCTGGAGCTTCCCGGGGCATGAGCAGCAGCGCAGTGGGCAGCACCGTGGCCAGCTGCCTGCACAGACCTCCCTCTGACCCCAGTGAGGGATAACCACCATGTCCCCTTTAGGATGTTTTGCAATAAAAAACCCTTCCACTTCTCTGATCACCAGGGTGCCCAATGCAGGCACTTACCCCAACCTCTCTTGCCACCCGGCACAGCCTAGCAATGCCAAATGACATCCCCACTGCCACCAAGATGGAGAGGGCATCGTTCCCTCGCTGCGCTCTCCCGAAACAGCAGGGTGCAGGGTTTTGCTTCGGTGGGCAGCGGCTCAGCACCCCAGCGAGCCCCCAGCACTGTACCGGCCCCTTGCATCCCCCCCTCGCTCCTCCAGCAAAGCTCCTACCTTGGGCATGGGGCAGCTCCCAGTGTCAGCAGCACCTCGATGGAGTCGGCTGCTCCAGCTGTGCCTGCGCAGCCCTTGAGGCAACAGAAAAGGAAGTGTTCATATGCAGATGAGCAGATTAAATCTAGAGAGCTTTTAGATTTCCTTTTTCACAGCCCAGTGAGGGACGGGTGTGGGGGGAGCATCCCCGGCACCGCCAAACCCCAAGGACATGGAGGCTGATGCTCGTTATTGCAGTCGTCTGCGATTCAGTGTGACCCAAAGACAACCTGCTCCCCAGGCATGTCTGATATAATTAGCCTTCTGCCTCTAATGAGTTTCTTCCCACTACCGGCAACCCCTGAGGAGCTGAGGAGCCCAGCCAGCAGCTGTGGCAGCACTGGCACCACGGTCTAAGTGGAGCATCGGCACTTGGTAAGCAGGGGAAGCCAAGCCAGCAGGGCAGAAGGCCGGTGTGGCTAAGCAGGGATCTACTTCTGGGATTCAGGCGGAAAAGGAAAGCGTAAGGACATTGGGAGCAAGGACAGGTGACACAGGAGGACTACAGAGATGCTCATCACCACTGTGGGCAGAAAATGTGTGCAGTCAAAGCTCGATTGGCATTCAGGCTGGCCAGCCCTGGGAAGGACAACAAAAAGGGCTTTTAAAAATATGTTAACAGCAAAAGGAGGCTCAAAGGTAACATCAGTTTGTTGCTTAACGAGATTGGTCACCTCACAAATAGGGACATAGACAAAGCTCAGATGTTCAATGCCTTCTTCACTGCCTCCCCTAACACCAGTGATGGGCCCTGGGACCTCCAGAGCCCTGTGTTGGAAGACCGTGACTGGGGCGATGATAAACTCCCAGCCGACCCTGAACCTGTTCAAGACCTGCTGCCCCAGCTGGATGCACAGAAAGCTACGGGGACTGGTAGGATTCATCCCAGGGCACCGGAAGAGCTGGCCAATGTTATCGCGGGACACCTCTCAATGGTCTTGGGAGTCTGGAGAGGTCCCCATTGACTGGAAGCTGGCAAACATTGTCCCCGTTTTCAGGAAGGGTAAGAGGGAAGACCCTGGGACGGTTGTTCTGGGAGTTATTGAAAAACACTTGAGAGACGACGCAGTCATTTGCCACAGCCGGCACGGGTTCACGAGGGGAAAGTCTTGCTTAACCAACTTAATTCCCTGTCATGACAAGGTCACCCATTGAGTTGACAAGGGAAGCCAGTAGATGTGATGTTTTGGGATTTTAGCAAAGCTTTTCATACCGTCTCTCGCAGAATCCTTCCAAATAAAGCATCCAGCGCACAGCTAAACAAGTCCATCATACGTTGGGTGAGCAATTGGCTGACGGGTCGGGCTCAAAGAGTTACAGTAAATAGGGTGACATCAGGCTGGTGGCCAGTCACCAGTGGGGTTCCCCAGGGCTCGATTCATGTTTTTATAAATGATCTGGACACAGGAGTTGAATGTACATTAAGTACATTCACAAACAATACTAAACTAGGAGAAGCTGTGGACTCCCTCAAAGGTAGAGAGGCCTTACAGAGACATCTGGATAGACTAGAGAGCAGGGAAATCAGCAACTGCACGACATTTATCAAGAGCAAGTGCTGGATTCTCCACCTGGGATGGGGTAATCCTGGTTATATGTACAAATCGGGGGACGAGAGGCTGGAGAGCAGCCCTGCAGAAAGAACTCTGAGGGTTTGGGTTCATGGCAAGTTGAACAAGAGTCAACAATGCGTCCTGGCAGCCCGAAGGGGCCAACTGTGTCCTGGGGTGCATCACGCACAGCATCGCCAGCCAGTTGAGGGAGGTGACTGTCCCGCTCTGCACCGCACTGGTGCGGCCCCACCTCGAGCACCATGTGCGGTTTTGGGCACCTCACTGTAAGAAGGACATCAGGCATTGGAGTGTGTCCAGAGGATGGTGACCAAGATGGTGAAGGATCTTGAGGACAACACTTAGGAGGAGCGGCTGAGGTCACTTGGCTTGTTCAGCTTGGAGGCTGAGGGGTGACCTCATCACTGACAGGTGACCTCATTGCTGAGGGGTGACCTCATCACAGTCTACACCTTCCTCAAGGTGGGTAGCAGAGGGGGAGGTGCTGCTCTTCCCTCTCTGGTGACCAGCAACATGACATGAGGGAATGGAATGAAGCTGCATCAGGAATGCTCAGGTTGGATATTGGGAAAAGGTTCTTCCGTGAGAGGGTGGTCAGTCCATGGAATAGGTTTCCCAGGGAAGTGGTCACAGCACCAACCCTCTCAGAGTTCAAGGAGCATCTGGACAATGCTCGTAGTCAAATGGTTTAGTTTTAGGTCATCCTGCAAGGAGCAGGGAGTTGGACTCTATGATCCTTATGGGTCCCGTCTAACTTGAGATATGCTGTCATTCCATGGTGCTACAGTTTGATGCTATGCTGGGATGGAGCTGGCATCCTCCATGCCGCCTGCAGCCACCACAGCACAGCTCCACAGCAATGCCAGCCAGCCCAGCCAAAGGAAAAAGGGTCTTCTCCCCCCCCTCGCC